TATACAAAAGGATTTGGAACTAGTCATATTTCAGCATCTTTTATGGATAAAGTCAGAGAATATTTGAAAGAAAACAATCCAGAAGTACTTACTCGAAAACAATCTAAGTGGCAATTACTTAAATTTGTAGCACAGAAATTGAATATCGATAGTAATCAATTATTTTATCATGGTGATCAACGAGGAATTTATTGTGGTTGGACTGGAACGAATGCCAATGAGTTTTTATTAAAAACGAAAACGAATTTTGTACAAGATAAGCTTCAATCTGTTGAATCAACTGCTTCGTTTTGGAAACAAAGATGGGCAAAACAACGAGCAACACATTTGAATAAAAGTCAAATATAAACTTTTAAGATTTTCAAAATGGTGCTTCCAGAAAATTGTCAGTTCATACACTGAGATATAATAGATATTTGTGTTTTGTAAATATGTATTTATTGTGTGATAAGTAACTCTTACAATCAAATAAAATGATCGATAGTTTTAGCATATCAAAAATCTGAATATTCATCACAAGTTTTGAATATACTTTATCTCAGTCAATCGATGCTATAGAAGCAATATAGCTATTTTAATATAACAATAAAATCGAGCTCACCTTCAAGAGTTATAAATAAGAGAGGGTGTGGGCGTGGGTGTAGGTGAGTGAGGGTAAGAGTGTCGGTGTAGGTGTGCATATAATGCTCAAAGATTTCCGTTATTTCCAAGAATTTTTGTATCTGACCTACAGTTTTAGAATATTTGGGACGTTTGAGGATTCTTCAAGATTCTTAAGGATTTCAAAAAATTCCGCAGGATTCCATAGAGTGACTTTGGATTATAGGATTCCGCTCTTTGTCTCTTGCCCTCTATACAGTGGAAGATCCTTTAATGGTTCCGTAGAATTTTTTATTACGTTTTTCAAACTTTGAACATATTTGCAGACTTTTTCTGAACGGCCAAACCATTTTATGGGTTCAGTAGAGCACCAATTTTTTTTAGAGTGAGCACACATTCAGAAAGAAAGTCTATTGAGATTAGAGTCCTGCAAACCGGACGGGTACCCGACACCCGGCCCGACCCGGACCTGGGTACCGGGTAAAATTCACCGGGTCGGTTCGGGCATCGGGCGTTAAAAAAAAATTCGGTTCGGTTCCCGGGTAGGAGTGTATACCCGACCCGAACCGACAACCAATGACATCACCAAATTTATAACATTTTATTCTGATACTATTACTAATATGAAAAATGAAGTCACACTAAATCTAATAATGATTAAACGACCCATTAGTCATTGAAATATTTCATAAAGAAAAGTTTAGTTTCTTTGAATAGCTTTTGTTATGTTTCGGATAAAAAGCTTTTATTGTTTTGTTAATTAACATCTTACAATACGAAAGGTGGATGTAGATGTGAGCTTGTGTGTGTGTGTGTGTGTGTGGATGTAAGATAAGAGCAAGATCCACATCATCAGCTAACTCCTGATTCACTTGTTTTTTTACGTAATTTTACATAATATATATTTTTATTTGTTACTTATGAATAGGGGTAGGACAGTTCCATATTAGTTACGTCCTTAGGAAATGTATAATAGTTCTTTTGACCAGTTCATCTGAACTTGGAACTATGAACTGTCCTACACCTACTTATGAACGAAACTAGACGTATTATATTTATTGAATAAAATAAAGGTTTAGAAATTTGATCATATTTTGAAAAATAACTGAGTAGACCGGTTCGGGTCGGTTCGGGTCCGGTCTAGCTCATTCGGTCCGGTTCGGTTCCGGGTGGTTAACTAGTCGGGTCGGTTCGGGCCCGGGCGTAAAAAAAATTGCCGGTTCGGTTTCGGGTACAAAAAAGTGCACCCGTGCAGGACTCTAATTGAGATGAATGATCAACAACAATAATAAAAAGGCTCTTGCGTCAATACTATAGCAATTCGAAAAGAGATAAGATTGTACATATTTCAATGCTGTGCTTCGGTTTAGACAGTGTCGAGAACTTAAGTACTTATTCATTATACATCCTTTGAAAAGTAATATGCCGTTTTCCCACTTACGAGCAGACGATTGTTCGTCATCAATGGTAGTCAGAGTTGTAATACCTGCTTGCGATAACTGTTGACAATTTTGATTTGGAATATTAGAATGCAACTGACACTGATTACTCGTTGAATCGAAAGTAACTGTGCGACATGCAGTATTAGTCACACAAGCCTTTTCATAGTCTTCTAAGTTTGATGCAGAAATAGTGGCTAAAGATGAACAACCTGGATAGTTACATTGATATTTAATATTGACGACCTTCCACGGCAGGGATGCCTGCGTATTTTGAGAGACAGAACCGATAATGATGACAAACAAGAGCAACAGTTTTATGTATGACATGTTTCAAAAAATTTGAAAACTAAAAGAACGAAAAAATAAATATCTACACATGTTATTTATTAATGCAGATTGTAAAGGACTTTATCTTGTCCGTTTGCAAGTTTTATGGTCGGACAGTCAATTATATAATTATGTTACTTTTATTGTTTGACAATAATTAAAAGAAGACTAATCTGAATATCTTAAAAATAAAATTTCTGTATTATCATTAATTTATAGTGACGTGTAGCTCGAGTTTACATCGTCTAAACAACACTCTAAATAAAATAGGTATTTTTGGAAACTCAATAAGAGTTTCCGAGTTTGCTACTATCGGAAACTCGTTAAGAGTTT